TAAACATTTACAGAAAATAATCATATGGAAGAGGATTAGGGCCACTGAAAAAATAAAAAAAGAGTTAAATGATTTTTCCATTTTCAGTATAATATAAGAAAAAAACTCAGAATTCTGACTCAATTCTGACAGCTAACAAACATGTTAGCATCAAGCCGTAGCCATGTTTGTTTTAAAGACTGAACTAGCTCTCTGGTTTTAATCACTTTCTGCTCTTCCATTAATGAAATAGCATCACCAGGGACCCATCAGGCAGATAAAAAGCCACCTTATTCCATCATTGTCCACCAATGTGTTACACATTCTGAAACGGAGTAAAAATGTCTTAAAATAAGTGTATTTAACCTTCATTTGAGTAGGAAAATAGGATAATCTGCCAATGGAATGAACCTTTTTATCCTTAGAATAAGATAATTAGATATTATGCACTTGAAATAAGAGACAATGCTTATTTTAAATGTAAATTGTCGTGTTGCATTGGCAAAGTCTCTCACTTACCTCCTCAATAGAACAAAAAACGCTCTTATTTTAAGAAAAACTGACTTACATAGATTTACATTTTTTTCAGTGTACTGGCCCTTCCAAACAACTCCCACATCTCTTCCTTTTACATTAAGATCCAATATTCTGAGATTTCAGTCGGAATTAAAAATCAGTTAACTTTACTTTTTTTTCCAGTGGCCCTAATCCTCTTCCGTATGATCATAATAATCCATATTTCAATTTTCTTTCTATGAAAGGTGTAATTGTCTTCAATCATTACCTTAAATCACATATATTCACTCTTTCGCCTCCACAGTTTAAATGCATTTTGATTTTTCTCCACATTTGTCAAAAATCACCTGAAAGTTGTATTGTTTTTTGTTTAAAAAAAAAAAAATCCTCATCTTGTAGAAATGTGTTAAGCATCCCATTCTGACAGGATTCCATCAAAAACATGAAGCAAACTAAATAAGGACCTCATCGGCATCGGTGGAATGTTTTTAAATTCATCACGAATCAGAGCCGATGGCAGAAAAAACCTGAAACACAAAATAAAAGTTCAAAGAAAAGTTTCCAGAGGTTTAGAAAAAAAAAAAAAAAAGAACTAAGAACTGATTAAAGTGTTAAAACAGTTTGAGTTTGACGTGATTCGTATCGTTGACTGGGATCTGGACTCTTCCTCCTCACAGGATCGGGTCCTGTCCAGCTTCTCGGCCTGGATCAGACGCAGCAAACGAGATAAGAACCGTCTGAAGAGTCAGAGGAGGAAGGAGAGGAGGAGAGAGAGATGGCTGCAGAGTCAGAGGCAGGAGGAGGCGGTGAGGAAACACAAAAATCATCCTTACAGACTGATCTTTATAGAGTCTGGTTCACAGACTGCTGGTTACAGCTAATTGAAATATCACTTTAAGTTCAAAATATTAGATCAGATTAATAAAACACATTTAATCTAACAAAGAGCCCCTTTTTAAGATCTGATTTAATATTCTATAATGTTCCTGCAGACTGAGGGTTTCTTGAATCTTTAATGCCCCCACTGAGTCAGGTTGACAGTATGCAGAGGTTTGGGAATTTCACTGTGGAGCGTTTAGCTTCAGAGAGCAACAGTGAAGAGTGACACTGCAGCTGTCGCCTGGACACATCCACTCTGTTAACCCTTTAAAGGACAAATTTGCCAAATGGAGTCCCCCCATCCCTCAGTGAGGTCTAGAAGCACAAGATCTATATCCAGCCATTCAGCAAAGATGCTGCTACATGGCTGCACATCTTATTTTGGTATTTGACCGATTAGATGAGCCCTTGAATGATATATTAGCTACTGTTAATTAGGGGTGTAAATAATAATCGTTGTGTATCGATGCATCGATCCAACAGCTGACGATCCGATGCATCGATA